TTATCCCTGTTCACCGAATTCAGCACCTTTGCATGTACCAACCAAATACAAACAGCTCAGGGCTTCCCTCAGATGTGAAAGACCCATCATTAACACCTCTACTTTGTCCTGTCCCAAGAAAATTCTGTGGGGTTGCCACCACCAAGTAATCAAGAAAGTTTCAGAAAAAAATGGGTACATGAACTTGATTCATCTCTGTCATTACCACTAGTTTCAGAGGTGGTTTAGTTTTCCAAAGGCTGAGCATTGCTGCTGACTCTCTACTTGGTAAGTTAAGTTCACCATACTGACCAATATCTTGTGGGCTTTGTTGTCTTTCAGAATAGAGGGATTTTACATGAAAAAAAATCTTACTGGCTTTTGTTCAGGTCGGTGTTTTCTAGGAATACTGCTCAGCAATTTGACCATCTTTTCCGCTAATTATATTGTAACACTTTCCAGTTCTGTGCCATTATGTAAATAAGTGTCTCCAACGTAACTGAATAAATTGTGCTGGTTCAACCCCACTGAATTAATTTCTATCAGCTTCTGGCTATTGCTTTTCCATCTCTAGGCGTGTGCCGATTCGTAATGAGGAATTTGGGTTTTTCACTGGACCCGTTCATCTGCCCGTTCTGTGAGTTGGCATAAAACTGACAACTACTGGTACGGGCAAGCGGGGTCGTTCCTTTGCCACGGCGAATCCTCACTCCGACGGCCCGGCAGCGGGTGAGCAGCCAAGGGAAGCAGGGTGTTTGGGCAGTGAACGAATTGCGCAATTTTCTGAATCGCCCCAAGGCTCCCTGCGGATCGCGGATTCTCAGCTGGAAAGTAAAGGGAAGGTGCTCAAGAAGATGATTTTTAACCATCAAGGAAAACGCCACTTCCTGGCAGCTGCCTGAAGTTTGCACAGGTGCAGGTTTTACCCCTTTTCTTCTGTTCTAGCAACATGTTTATCTGTGAAATACCACTGTCACTGCTGGCACAGCAAAGGTTTGAGTTGTTTCTCGTGACAGTAGGCTGAAAACCTGACCTGCTGAAGACCTTTGGCCAGGCTGGCACCGTGTCTCTTTGTAAGGCTGTGCGTTAGATTCTACTCTGAGAGAGAACAAGTTTCCTTCACAGGAATCTATCATTTTTCCTAACTTTTATCTGATGGCTCCCTCTAGAGAGAGGAACATAAATACTGATCAGCTTCACATATTGAAGTTCTTGGGTTTGGTCACTTTTAGCCTCAGAAGTGTTTTTGTTACACCCACTCCCCATTAGACTCCTTGCCTTTTCAGTACCTTCTTTCTTTCATTGTCTAGATCAGTGCTGTTAGGATAACTGCAGAAACACAGAGTTTTCAAGTCGTCTTACTGGCATTTCAAAATTATCTCCTGTAATCAGTCACTGGGTCTGCCCAAACGCACTCAGAACTACCTCTCCCAACAAAACAAGAGATGTAAGCCTGGTGGACAAACAGGGAAATAAGCTGAGCTAAGCCAGGAGAGATCTGAAGCTTCCTGCTGGCATTCAGAGCGATAACAGCTCGTTTAAAAAGACAGAGGGTGGATGTTGACCAGCACTGATTTTTAGATAAGTAGGATCTGGTGTTATGAGAAGGGGAGCTTTATTTTTGCGCAGGGAGTGTGAGAGAGCAGCATACACAGGGAATGGAAGAAGGGCACGGGCAAAAGGAACTTGCGGATTAAACTGGTTTATAGCTGCCCTTCTCCACTGGAGTCAATGACCACCAGGTTGTTCTCTGAAAGAGTAACTCCATGTTCACTCTCCACTCACTGAGTTAAACATTGATTAATGAAAACTAGTACTGCTCCTACTGCTATGGCTTTAAAAAATCCTCTGTTATTCAAAAAAATACAATTAGTGATTGAATTTAAAATTGAAATGTCTGGCCCAGGGCTGTGTCCTAGCAAATAAATTGTTTACGCTGAGTTTTTCAGCACTGACTTAAGTCTGTTTGCATCCAAGTCTATAGTAACACTCCCCTCTTTGAGCCCAGGCAGGGCATGTTCAACACCCCACCCGAGCCTTGTTTAACGGGAAGGGTTGTCCCTGCTTGCGACTTGTTCCCAGTGAGTGGAACAGTGAGTGTGGAGAGTTAGGACAGCACAAAAGCTGGCGGGTGTGTTGCTGCAAATGCGAACAGTTGGTATTTGCAGTTTACTCCAGAATAGCGAGGTATACATGGGAACGCCCTGCTATTCAAAGGCAGACAGCAAACAATTGTTTATACATTTAATCAACCGCAGGTGGTTTTGGTTTTTTTACAAAGAATAAACATGGCCCAGAAATGAAACTTGGGAAAAGAGGAAATGCAGTTTACAAAATTGTCTGTTATCTGTTACATTGACCTCCTACAATTTTCACCCAAGACAGAGAAACGTTTCAGTAGCCCCTGCATCCCTGCAGTCGGTCCCGCTGCACTGTTGACGGGCTGTGCCTTTCCATTAGGCCATGGGGAAATGACTCTACGCGTGGTCTGTGGCGCTGCATTCCTCTTGGTGCAAAATCCCCAAGAGCAAAAACCTTCACAAAACGAAGAAAAACGCGAAAGCTTTCAGAATGTGAAAAACAACTGAGGCCAGAGTCATACAAGCCTGCAAGCGGATAGAAGAAGCGTTGGGCTGAGCGTGGAAAGGGAAGGGCAGTAAGAACAGCTGCTGCGCTTGTCGTTCGGCTCCTTATAAACCAGGTGTGTACTGAAGCCCCCAGTGCGCACTGCTTAGCAAGAACTTGCGCCACCTTGTGTTTCTGGTAATCTGTCACTGGATGCCGTTTTTTTTCTCTTGCCCCTAAAAATTTTATAGGTGGCACTAAATGCATTTGCTTACATGCAGGTACGAGCCATTCTGGATTGCATTAACACAAAGCATCTCGCTGGCTTTACAGCCACACACCGTGTTTGCTCTTGTGGAAAAGGGCTGAAATAAAGCATCATCGGGAGACTTCGGATTTTGTTTCTAATCGCTGTCCTGTGTTTTAACTCTCTTTCAATCACAAGTGCTCTTAAACCATAGTATCTGGCTCCTTTACACTGTGACCAAACTTTGATTAAAGCAGTTTTCATACCTTTGGCTTCATTTTTAAGCTGTGACTAAAAAGAAAAATACAGGCTATTCAAATACATCAGTACAGAATGTGGACTAAAATATGTTTTTTGTATATATATATATGTAGTCCACTTTTGGTTATTAACTATATTTAAATACCTGTCATTAAACTTTTCTTCTAAAGAGCTGAGAAGCAACTTGACTTAAATACTCAAGTATGCCAGTGTCTTTCTTAGCTTTGCAGCTACTGGATAGAGAAATGCAGTTACTATATACGTGTTCAGCCATGCTCTTATTTTCAGTAACTGTATTTAAGAGTTTGAACCGTGCAAAATGTTACTACCAGACTTCTAGGAAATAAACGTCTGTACAAGCCTTGCTGTTGTTTTCTTTCACTGTAGTGCAAGAAAGAGTTAAGTTTCTAAAATGAAGCAATAGTTTGAATGCCTGATCCAGCCTCCTCAGGAAGAGCTGCGACAGTCTGACGACAGCCTGACATATCTAACCCCTGCTTATCATGGGAAAACTTATTCCAGGGCCTCTCTCGCAGTAAAGCCTTTATTTCCAAGGAGACTGACAATAGGCTGAAAACTTTTTCCAAATTGATACTTAATAGGATGTCTCTGAATAATGAGTAAATGCCATCAGCCAGTAGGATATCTTTTGGGAAACTGAATTATGTAAAGCGGACATAACGAGTTCTCCTCTGCCCATCAGCATGGCCTTTAGCTACGAGTCACTGTACGGAGCTCAAGAACACCCGTGTTATATTTGTGTCTAGGTCTTTTGTCCTACCACACTGGTCTACAGCCATGTGTAAAACAGTAGTGCGACTTTGTTGGGTTCTGTATGCAGTTTGCTATCAAACACACTCAGTTCAGGAGAAAGTGTGTTACCACTATCATTATTAATAGTCTTGGCTTTGCAGTAAATCTGAAACACGCAAGACAAAATTAACCCCATCTGAATGTCTTAGTCTGAGCTGGTTGTCTTCATCGCCAGTAGAAAGATGTAGGAATGTAGGGGTTGTTTCTTAAACTAGATCCAGTAAATCACTGTGAAAAAGCCTGTTTTCTCTCTACTGATTTACAGTGAGAATCCCAATGAGTAATTCAAACGTCCACAGGTCAGGGAAGACAAATCCCATCCTCTGTGTCTGGAAATAAACAGTTCCAGGCAAAACACAACCCTCTCATCAGGAGGTGGACTTCTCTGAAATCTGTGCCCCCCCAGTGTTCCCTTCCCCCTCTTAATCCATTCATAACGATAAAGCAATTCCCTTTGATCTTTCACAGAAATGGCAAGCACGTACAGCTTAGCACGTTACTTCTTTTCATGCCTAGAGTCATGCAGCCATTTCTCTGCTGGATCCAACCATGTCTGGGTGTGGTATGTGTTGAAACCTCCTACTTTATGGTGTCTTGACATAAACGGGATAATATTCAGCCCTGGCTCCATAGAGTAATGTGGAAGGCATTTGGCAGCGTTCCTAAATTCTTGCTGTTTAAACATGAGGAAGCAGATCACTTCTGCATACCAGCATTGATTTATAGAGACTGAAGGCCACGAGGAATCCTTCCGTTTAAACAAAGCAGGCGATACAAGAGAGAGTTTCTGCATTCCCAGTTATAGGTTCGAGCCCAGTCACCCTCACGCAGTAAAGGAAGCCACCAACCTGTCAAATACAGTAGTTGTTAAATATTGTTTAAAACATTTACTACTTCTTTCCTGAAGTCTTTCAGTGGCCCTCATGAAGGTACGCTCCTCTGCATTTCTCCGTGCTGAGTGTTTTAAAAGATTTTGGGTAACTTCACAAAGCCTTGGGTTTTGTTTTAATGCCTCCCAATTTCTCTTCCAATTCAAAGAACACAACCTTACTGTGTCATGAGACAGCAGGTGCATATTCACAATGGGAGAGACTCTCGGCAGCAGAAAAAGAAAAAAGTCACAGGCAGCACTCTCCCCCGTGATGAGAACACCTGAACACAATTTATTTTTAAGAGGCCTACGGCATCCTACTTCCCCTCAACAGCAGGCGCACTACAATACTGTTACTGTGTAATTAGAAGCTTTGTGGTTACGCTGTGTCAGCAGTGACACTAAGTTCCTGGAGAAGTGGATTTAAACTTCTGGGAGAACTCTTCCAGCACCTCCATTAGCTTCTCCTCATCCTCCGGTGGACTGTGGGTGCTTGCCAGGGGTAAGTGTGTAGGGACTGGTTGCCTGTCTGGAAGACGAAAAATGAAAAAATCCTTATGGGTATATTTAACTACCTCTTCTAGCACAAAGGAGATTTTTCTGCTAGGCTCTATACTGCCCAAATGTACCTCACGGTCTTGAAGCCAGGAAACTTACCTTCTAGGTATCTGTAAACAATGTCAGTTAAGCATATCTTCCAAACCAGAAATTAAACTAATTTCATTTGTATTCTGGAACTAGAGCGATTGTGCTTTAGCGCAATATGACTTAGACTGGGGAGCAAGACCTTACTTGCAGCTTGCTTTTTCAGCATGAGACAGGGTTTTTTCTTGCCTCCTGGATAATGTTTCTAGTGCTACACAAATTCCCCAGCTGGGACTTTGTAGTTTGGATTATACCTTAAAATGCTTACTTTCATCCTTAAAAATAAATGGTTAAATTCTAACTGCTAAAGAACTTATGCTAATCGCTCAATCACCATAAGTAACATGTATCCAACATAAAGATGTCTGACCAAATTTGCTGATTTTGATGCTTTGGTTGGTTTTACAAATCTCGTACTCCTCGCTCACTCTGTGTAAATATAGCTATATCACCATCCATTCTAAGGGATTTTTCTCTCCAAAAACACGGTATCTAGAGCCTGGGAACCTTATGGCAGTGCTCTCAGATGTCTATGAAGCAACCGTCAGAGCGCTGGTGCAGCACTGTTAGTCTGTTTTAGTAAGTCCAACTTTCACAGTAGCCAGCTGAGACTAAAAGAACAAGCTGTTGCAACACTGGGCAGCAGATTTCTCTGAAAACCTATCAGGCTGCCACCAGGCTGCCCAGGGGAGCAGAGATGTTTGCTCTCTTAAGAGCAAATGTTGTAACTGGCTGCACACACCACATAACCTCTCCTTACGGGAAACTGTGGAGAGAGAAACGTGCAGAGGCACGTTCCCTTCTCCATCACTGAATATGAACTGCTTCCTACCTAATTGTAGTGCTTCTAGTAGCCTGTGCTAAAGTTTGGGAACTATGTGTGAAGCCAAGTTCAGCATCACGGAGAAGATGCTTCTAGTCTTTGGAAAGCAGGACTCTGTCAAACATTTTTTACTTGTTTTGGCAGATGCAGAGAATTCTGGTTGTACAAGTCATGTTCTCACTTCCCATTTTTTTTTCCTAAGGAAAAAAAAGATTGCTGGCTTTGGTTTGCACTCAAAGGGAACAGAATAAAAGAGAACGGAAGAAATGGAGGGAAGGTGCGACTGATTCAGGAAATGGCCGTCTAGGACCAGAAGAGCAGGGTTTGTGGTAAAGTATTCCTGCACACAAAGCCCCGTTACTGAAAGGGCCTGAAAAGGGCCCATACTAAGCTGTGGCTTCCAAAGGGCAGTAGGAGAGAGAAATAACTGACTTCATCGCTATTTGATAAGCATGGGACATGGACACAGGACTTCTCTTGCAGCCTTAAGAGCAGTCATGTCGAGACCAAAGCTCTCAAAAGTAATTATCTATAGCTAAAAAGCCAAGGTGTGTTCCCTGTTTACTAAAGCTGGGGGTAGACAAAGGCCAAAGACAAAAGCCTGGGTGGAATTATGATCTAGAGCAAGGACAACTGAGCAGAAGCATTAGGACCAGAAGAAGGTGATAGGAATACGAAAAAGACAAAGCCTGGTTCTACAAAGACGACTGACCAGCTGGGATGTAGGTGCATGCATGCATGCACCACATGATGACATGAAAAAGGTCTGGTTAAGTATCTGTCAACCAACCCTGTGTGACTGTCTGGGAGGCGACAGAAGGGACAAAGTCAACCCAACTCCAGAAAAGTCTGAACTTCCTGCATGCTGTGCCAGAAATTCAGTGGATCAGGATTTGAGTGCCACATCCAAGAAAAGTACTGGGCTCCTGTAAACAATTACTGTGAGCTTTTCCTTTCTCCTACTGGACTAACCAGCATCACCATTAAGACATCTATGCTTCCAGCTGCTCCTACTAAGATGCCTGTCATTTGCCTGGGAGAAAAGAAAGGCTCTGCCCTATTTTTCCATTCCCTGTGCTTACAGTGCCAAAAACGCCACTGTGCTCAAGTCTCTGCCCAGCGTCAGAGAAAGGGGGAGTTGGCAGTTTTAACTAGCATGGAACGGTAGGAAGAGCCTGTCAAAGCAAAGCCAACCCCCAGTGCTCTGTGAGAAGGATGCTAGTTTCCCAGCATCATAAAAGATGCTGTTTGACTGCTGTGATTCACCTTCCCTTGGCACAGTCCTGAATACAGCCATTTTCATTAAAAAAAAACAACCACCAAACCCTCCCTAAAGAAATGCTTTGAAGTCTCTATCAGCTACTTTAGAGGACAAAAGCAGGAACATGACAACTTAACACGGTCGTTCCCTGGTTGCACGATGCTCACTTGAGCCTTTAGTCTTGGAAGGATTTTGAGAAATACTTTATCCTTTGAACAAGGGTTGCCTGGTCGAGCCTTCATCCCCTTCCAGGCCAGATCCTACAGTCCAGGCAGCTTAGGGATCTCCACTGCTATGCAACGTAAGACACTGCCGCCTTACCTTGGAAGAACAAGCCGCTCGGTAACTTTGTCGCTTCAGATGATACTGCCAACCATACAACAGTATCAGCTCCCTGGGCCTCTGTGCGCAGAGTATTCTTCATCTTCTGATAGAAATCTGGCATTGACGATCTCACAGCTAGAGAGAATAACAATGGAATGGTGGTCTGCCATGCAAGGCTTTTTTGATAAAAATAGAAGAGCAGCTTAAAATTGCCATTATGAGTGTAGGAAGAAGACAAGGCATCTCAGAGTTCATGAAAGAATAAGTATTTCCCCATAGCTAGGAGTACGATGACTTGTGGTATAATAGTGCTAAACTGCCAGATGATCCACCAGTTGTTTGTTTGGGTCAAATTACAGGGACAAAACTAGTAGGAGCTGAGAACAGGATCAGTGAGAGGTTCCTGAGCCAATTCCATTCTAAACTGCAAAGAAGTAAGACATGGGGGAAACAGAAATACCAAAACCTAGGTATTCTAACAGGATTTTTAGCTCTTATCTTCTCACCAGTTCTAGGAAACCAATTGCAGCATTGTATTTAGCAGACATGGGAAGGGCTACAGGTGTCGTCTGTCTGGACCTCTGTAAGGCCTTTGACACGGTCCCCCACAACATCCTTCTCTCTAAAATGGAGAGGTATGGATTTGATGGGTGGACTGTCCGGTGGGTGAGGAA